TCTGAGATGTTATTATTATTGTTCAAGTGTGTTTTCATAAATATCTAGCAAACGAAATTTAAAATTAATCTAAAATATTATTTTAAATATTTTTTAAACATTTTTTAAAAGAAATGTGACCCGCTTGCTGTTATTAGATGACATTCGGCTCGCATTCAATTTGAGTTGAAACCACTGCGTTAACAAGCGGCCGAGCGGTAAAATTGCTGAACACTGGTAGTTCGATCCGGGGTTTGAGTCCCGGCGAACGGGCTGGCTGCATGGGAGTTTTCGTGGTTTTCCCCATGTGTAACGTGGATGTGTGCAAGTTTCCCTTAAAAGGATGTCCACGGAGCATCCCTCCCCTTTCATAGAGTGTTTAAGGGCGGAGCACGAATAAAAAGTTAATAAGTTTTTTAAAAAAACCACTGCATTAGAGAATCGGAAGCTTACAAGTAAATTTATAATGTTTAATAATAAGCTAGCATTACGTAATAGATATCTCGGATTCATGTGAACAAACACTTCGTGCGCTACTTCTGCATCGCTTGAAAGTTCCAGACTTGTCTAGTTTCCTTTTAAAAGTCCTTTGCTAAGAAGACTTCACTAAGATATATTTACTAAGAAGACTTCATTAAGATGTATTGTTTACTTTACCAGGTCTTTACTTTCTTTTATTATTTACTTTTCTTCACTTAGGTGTATACTTTACTCTCGCGTGTTAGGCTTTCGTTTACTTAAAGGTTAAACGAACCAATAGATATCTCGGATCCGAAAGCGTAAGCGTTATTTTCTAAATTTTCTTTATTGCTTGCTATGCAGGGGGGTAAAATTAGGATTTCTTTCATCGAAAGCCTGGGATTCCGTTTTTCTGAGAAAAAGATTTTTTTTATTGTTTTTCAATTCCCAGGAGTTTTTTCTTAAATTAATATATTTTAAGTTATGCTATGTAATAATATCCTTTAATCTGGTAATAAAAAAGCCTTCTGCGAATACTATTGATATAGTGATCTACAGGCATGAGTTAAGGTGAAGAAGAGAAGGAATATGATTTTAGTTATTTTTTCCGGGGATCTTCAATATCTCAATTAAGATAAAAATTTTATATTCTGGTTTTATTCATGTATTCAATCATTACAAAAATAAAGTGTTCTTTTAGTTTTAGCAAGTGAAAGAAATGAAAGAATCCAGATATCTTTTTTCTGTAGACCAGATACTAATTCATTGTAATGTAAAGAGTGAATGTCATTCTTCATTAATATTTTTTACTTTCTTGTTCGAAATAGAAGAAGTATTGTAATCGCGGCAAATTTCGGTTATCAGATTTCAACCGAAATATAGCTTTTGACAGATATCTCGGCTCCGAAAGGGACAGACGTAATTGTCATAATAACATAGGACCGAATTCATTTTGACTGTTATTTTGCATGACATCTCTGCGTACGGACAGAATAAAGAACTCGTTATGCCAAAACGGATTGTAAAATGTATTCAAAACGGATTTCTTCGGAACTACTGTATGTACTTACGTAGGTACGTATGTATCTCACATAACTCTAAATCCACTGACCGTAGAAAGTTGAAATTTTGCATATGGGACTGCTATAACATCTCATTATGAACCTATATTTTTTATTGCAGTCGGCAATACAAGAAGTATGTGTATGTATCCACCCCTCTTACCAGGCTTAAAAGTCCTTACACGCCCTTCATTTTCACAATCTTTGGTCGTGCTAATATACTTCCAATTGCAGAAATCTTTTAAATGACGAAAATTTTCCTATTTTAACAATTTCAAATTTTAAAAAAATTTACAAATAGCGAAATCTAATTTTTAATGTGGTCTTCCTGTACTATAATACTTATATTTACGGAAGTTTTATATTCGTTATGAGCCGCCCAGACGGTATAATGGTTGTAGGAGCCTGACTGCGATACCAAAGGGCCCGGGTTCGAGTCCCGGAGAGAAGGCATGGATGCAAAATTGTCTGTCCTTCATAGGAGGTAACGGTGGCTGCCTATTAGTTGCCTCCGCAATAAAATGGCCACCACTTCTGGCCTTAAGAGTGGCCAATGCCGTTATAAGCAAGTGCCCGCCATTGTGCGAAAAATATTCATTATGAAAAAATATAACTACAAATAATTTGAGTCCCAAACAACAAAACTTGATAGGAAGATTAGATTTCAAAATTTTTAATTTTTGATGTTTTGAAAATTTCAACTTGCCTCGAGAGATTGTTTAATTTAGAATAATACATGGAAATAACTTTAACTGAAATGCAGAAAAAAATATGTCTAATTTATTGGCGTGCAAAGAAGTTATGTGGTGCCCACATCAGATTTTTAACAACAATAACGCAGTTAAAAACAAACAGAAAATTAGCAATTTAGAAGAAATTGCAACAAACAGAAATAATAAAAAAAAACAAAATCTGAAATGTTTCAGATTTTAAATTACGTCCAAAGGGGCGTTTTTTAACATTTTGTGTGTTACCTTTCTTTATTAAATATCATGTTCCTCGCACTTAAACCATAAGATCCAGTGCAACAGCAATATCGCAAAATAGTTTTAAAACGAGCATATCTTTAGAATTTCCGATACAGAGACTCATGCGCTGGAGATAAAAATGTTTTTTTCTGCACACACGTTGCCATTGCTCGCTTTGAAATCCTTGAGTTTGTTAATCAAAAAATTCGTCAAAGTTTTAAAAATAGGAAATCGATCATAAAACAAATTTCAAATTTCAAATTTGGTCTTCCACATGCTCATATTCGTTGGAGGATTACGTTATTCAAAATTCGATGACTCTATGTACCGTTGTTTTATCACAATACGAGAAATATACATACATTTATGCAGATTTTTCATTATTTAATTTCTTCAAATATAATGCAGGACTCTAACATTTTGTGGCAACAGTTTGAAAAGTGAACCGACATTTATGAGTCCGACGCAAAATGCCAAAACGAAACTAATAGTCCTTCGGGATTCAAATCCCTTTGGACTGAAAATACTTTGCAACAAACAGAAAATTAGCAATTTAGAAAAAATGCGCTGCCACTTGGCAAAGCAAAACAACTTTTCTTGCAAACTTAATCAACAAACTCGACAATTTAAAAAAAAAAATTTTTTTTGCCCCTGCAAGAAATAAGAAATAATTTCTTCCTCCCGCCAGTGTGTTGCAATTCGGCAAACCGTAAGATATTTTATTTCTCTTTAAAATTTATTCTGTTATTTATTAACATAACTAAATGATTTAAAAACAATAAACGCAAATTCATTTAAATTATTATTAATTAGTAACTAGACTCGTAAAATTAACATTAACAGGGTTTATTAAAATCGTCATATATACTTATCCTCATATAAATTACGTTAATTATTATTTTTATTTTATAGTTTTGGTTTATGTGATTACGGCAAAACCTCGAGGTTATCTCTTAAAGGAATGTTTTCGTGGAGGACTTTCTAAGAGAAGCTACACGTATACAAGTTACACGTGGGGAAAATCACAAAAACACTCAAGCAGCCAGCCCGTTTGCGCGATTCAAACCTCGGACCAAACTACCAGTGTTCGGCGACTTTACCGTTCGGCCGTTGGTAGGCTTATTTCATTGTACAGACTTTGCATATTATTGGTTGACAAACTAAGCGATTTAAAAGCAATAAACGCAGTTCTTCGTCTCTATTATTATTAACTGCTAGTTTGACTCATACGCATAGAGTCATTAGGTTATATCGATACAGGAACATGAAAAATGTAGAATGCCCCCATCGAGATTCAAATTCTGGACGTCCCGAATACGCGTCGAGCGTGCTTTCAGTTACACCACGAAGGCATGCGGAAAGGAGAGAGAAATATCTTATTATATCCATTAAAATCATAATATATTTTTTTATAATAACTATATTAGTTGGCTAACCGTGGGCACAAGATGATAATCTGAAAGAAAATTAAATTTGCTTCTTTGGGATAATGTATAAATTAGCAAAGCAAATCATAAGAATAAAAGAATATTTCTACATAAAATCCAGAAAGGAGAAGAAAAGATGTGAGAATAATAATAGCAGATGAAGTCGTAGTATTACGCATTGTTGTTTTTCTTAATAGTACGTAATTTAAATGTACTTAATTTGGAATAAACTTTGTTAAATTAGTCATTGAAAATAAATTGCTAAATTTTAAAAATAAATTAAATGTACAGCTATTCATTTTCTGTCATCCATTGATTTTTATCGAAATATAGGAGTAATATGAACACAGATATTGTCCTTTCTCTTTTGAAGTGTATTCTTTATTTGAATACAGATTCAGTTTGCACAACTAAACGTAGTTATTCTCCAAATAAAACTGCTTAAAAATATGGATAAATTTTAATAGTATATTTTTCTGTTAACTACAGTCGACTAATATTTTAAATGGTTAGTAAGAAAATGAAAAATATAGTAAAATTTAAAATGCCTCTGAATTCAGCTAATAAACTCGTCGAATACCCCTCGTCTTGTTGCCTGATTCCTTTAAAACTTATCTTCTTCATTTTGCATGAATTCATCCAGTTTTCCCATGGAAAACGACTCTTCGAATTTAAAAAGAACAGTAAAAATTCTCTTTCCCCGCCAACTTTTACATCAACAATAAAAATCAAACAACCGGAGTAACTTATCCTCCTCCCCCACAAAAAACTTCCTTATTATCGATTTCTTATTTTTCTTACACCTTTTCTCGAAGCTTAATCTTTCGTAATGAGTTTTGCATGCGTCTAAATCTCCCTAAATTGGGATCATAAAATTCCAAGTGTAGTTTTTTACTGGCTCGAGACTCTCTCCCAAAAGTCGTTTTCCCTGCAGAGGTCTGAGACGAGCTCTGGGTGTCTTCTTCGCTCGGTCACGGTAGAGACGAGCCAAGTAGAGCGCCAACTGAACCCGTACAGCTGATATACAATCTCGGTGGAAGATGCACCGAGCCATTTCACGCTTCACTCGCTCCCCGTATAAAAACGGCCAAGGTCTCTGTCGACTCTTTATTGACTTCCGCACTAGAGCACGGTCAAGTTCGACAATTCCATCTTCCGATACTGTGGTTTCCTCATCCATAATATGCATCGACATACCAGGACTTACGCATACTGATTGGAGTTTTCCCTCTTTCCGTTCTCCGAGAACGATTCTTCACTGAGAGAAAGAAGACGTTCTTTAGAGTTCCTTCCTTTTTCTGAAACGTTGTTGTGAGAGCTGGGAAAAGAAAAGTTTTGAAGATCTCTCTCTCTCTCTTAGTTTGGAAAACTCCAGCTTTGGACTTTTTCGCGTTTTGAAACTACTGTCAAGGTCATTGATCGCTTTGTTTGAAAGGTAAGAGATTTTTTATATCTGTTACAAAGGAAATGCAAAAGAAGCATATAGATGTTTTAAATAGTTTTCGGAATTTTGTAAAAAAAAGTCATTTGAAATTATTTTAAAGTTTAATTTTGTATATATTGTGTAAATGCTGCTTATATATTTTTTTAATTAGTATGAACTACTTTTATGCTATCAAAGAAAAGAAATTAAATTAAAAAAATATCTTTTAAGGAAATGTTTGAAGCTATTAAAATTTTTAATATCATCTATTAATCATAATTTTATATTATTCGTAATGTAAATGCTGCGTATGTTTTTTTTAAACTAACATCAGTTAATTTTGCAAATTTAGGCTGAAAGTTCTGGTATGATGCAAAAGAAAAAAGATGGCAGATTTAACGGTTCCTTTTAATTTATTTTTTAAATAATTAAGTTCAATTTTCCCTTCGCATTCGAAATAGCAGTTTCGTGGGAATTTAAAGTCAAATAGGAAAAGTATATTTTTAAATTATGTGAATTTAAATATTATTTAAACAATGTAAATTAAAAGTAAAACCTATTAAATTTTGTCGGTGAATTTAATTTAAAATAATAAATAAATATTAATGAAATTTTCGAGAGCTAACATTCGTTAATATATATATTCTGAGGTATTTTTGTTTATACATAAATAAAGATTTTGCCTTTTTTGTTAGTAATACTCTTATAACATTTAAATCATATTTTCTCAGATGGAGCTTCTATTTGAAAATAAATTAGAAACAGAATAAAAAAAAACTTTGTAGGAATGCATATAACTTTCTAATAATAGGAAACATTGCAGTTTAAAGTTTACATAATTTAATGTCATAAATATATTAGAATGATACATAGGCATAATTACCTAATTGAAAAGAATTATGCATGGCCTTTTAAATGAATATTTATTCCAAAGCTGTCATTAAATCATATCTTTCTATCCGGCAATATTTTGCAGTTTTCTTGTTTTACATAAAATTTTGCATTTATCGAATCTTTCCCTAGATCGTAAAAGAATTACTTTTTGTACTGCATTTAAACATTTAAAGTTTGTGCGATTTGAGGCTCTTTGTAATTACTTTGTTACCTTTTGCATTAAAGTAATTTAATGGCTAATTATATAAGTACATTCTTCCAATTTTAGTATTTTAAGAACTGTTTTAAGCCAAAGACTATTCTCTTTTCGTTCTTTTTCATTAATGGATAAAATATTCAGGTAATTCTTAAAACAGTTCCTGGAGCTGAAAATTATTTTCTAAACATATTACGCAATGAAAGAGTCCAAATTTTACTTCAGAGTTGATTTTAGACAGGTGTAAAAATATTTTATTTCTTTAAATATTGAGGTTTCGTTTAAGCATTGTTTTAGTCTGAGTTGCGAAAATAAAAAATAAAAAGCCAAGAAAATATTAAATTTTCTTTTTATATGTACAGTTTCTGAAAAAAAAAAGTTCATTTTCTAACCTTCTACTAGGAATTATCTTAAATGTAAAAGCGTAATTTGAACACTTTTGCGTAAGTTTATCGTACTTTCCAGAAGTGTACCCTGACTATTTTGTTACCCAGGAACATTTATAGCCTTATTCAACGTTTTATAGCTGTATAATATTACATTACGTAGGCTACCGTCTCATTCTCAATATGGCAAATCACCAGTTCTGAGAGCCGTTGCTCTCCGATGCAGTTCAGCGTTCAAATTATAACAATGCATTACTTTTAAGTCTAGTCGAGCACTTTTAAAACAATCATATCTATTCATTGATAATCTCCTTCTTTATTTTATTTTGTACCTTTCGAATTATAGAAATACACCACCTGTGAGTCTACAAAAACGAAAAAGTTTTAAAATGGAAAATTTTTTGTCTTAACAATTTACATAAATATCACTAATAAAATGCTTATAAATGTCTTTTGCAATATTATTGATTGAGAACTTTCATGACCATGGATGTAGTCATAAAAATCGTTTCAGAGATTTTTATACAGGGACTGCAGCTTAAGAGTGATCATTTCCTGACATATATAGTGCATATAGTAATTTTCTAAATTGGTCTTTTCCATATTTGAAAATTAAAAAAGTCTAAAAAATGGCGTTAAATTATGATTAATGAAATCATATCCATTAAATATCAAAAATGAATTATTAACCATAGTTTTTGTATATTTTACTATAAAATACTGTTATTTAAGCTTAAACATTATTTGTTTTTTATCAGATGCAAAATGCTCACATTATTGAATACATACACATCGGCAATAGAAGTTTTGCGATACAAACCACTAACTAAAGAAAATTAGAAAAAAAAATAATAATTGAAAGGCTACAGATTTTAACTGTCCCCTAAAAGGGGTCATTTAAAGTTTTTATCAGTAGAGATTATCAATAGAGACGACTCAGGTGGAATAAAGAAACATTTTATAGGATACTACATTTAGACTAAGAAGACGGTGTTCTATATCTTCTGGGTATTTGAAAAGTGAAAGATTGTAAAACGTAATTTCATAATAATGTTGAATGTTTTTAATTAGATGTATCATGAAATCAATGCATTTTTATTTTAATCAAGATGATTAAAAAATAAAAAGAGTAATATTCTTAACTGCATTTATTGCTGTAAACTAGCTTAGTTTGTTAATGAGTAACAGACAGATTAATCTTCGATATAAACAATAAGTATCTTACATTTTGTTGAATGGCAACACTCGAATAAAATGTGAAATTAATAAGTAAAATGTTAACTTTTGCTTACCTTAACGCATTGTGTATTAAACATTCGATTCAAAAATATTAATCAAAAATTAAAAAATATTAATTTTCGTACAAGACTCTTTTATACGTTGGTCAATGGATTTATTTTTCCAACTTTTATTCATTTCTATTCCTATTGAGCAAGACTGCCGTAATTTAGAGTTACAGCTTTCCTGAATTAAATTTATGTCTTCATTAACAGTGCTTATGCAGTAGTTTTTACGAGTAAATGTAGCGAAAAAAATTACTACAGCTGTAAAAGAAGGCACTGGGTTTCCGTTTTTGGTTTTCGTAAAAAATAAGTAAAGAAATAAAATAAACGAAAGAAAACAAGACTTTTGTAAGAGAAAAACCATTCTAAAAAATTTTTTTTGTTACCCTTGACTTCATTTGTAAGTAATGGTAAAATGGCAATTTCTTTATCCTATTGTTTCGTCCGATGCAGTCTAGATACAGAAATAATTCTGAAGCACAAATATTTTCACGAGTTTTAAATTTCAAGCTGAGACAATTTTTCTTAGAGTTTTATCTCATGTTTTTAATGTTTTTCGTTTATTTAATAAATATTATATAAATTATTCTAGAAAAATCTGTAAGTCTAGTTTTATTTCATCTCTCGGCGATATTAAAGCACTAAAATTAAAGGATATTTGTACAATATAAAAATTCTTAAATATTGCAGATTCTTAAAAGTATATGCAAACAGAAAGTGGAGTATGAAAGACCCATCTTTTCATATTCTGTATTTAATATCACGTCGTAAGATCCAATCATCTGGAGCTTCATTCATTAGTAGAAATAACACGAAACAGTTTCTTGACTCCAGTAGATCATCTGGTAAGATGACCTGATAGCGGTTCAAAAGAATCTGGCTTTGGATCTCTACTACGCCGTAACTTAATGAATAGTTGTTAACATAACAAATATGTTATTCCTCCGTAAGTAAGAATAGGAAGTAAAAGCGTTTTCTTAGAGAGTAGGTAATTTTAGAATTTCGAGCAACGAAAAAAATTTATAGATTTATTGTCAACAGGTTTTTTTAAAACAGACCCGCTCCTTTCAAGCTTATATTTCATATAAGGGATGAAATGTATCAGATGTTTTTTTTATAGCATTACCAGCCGAATAAAATAATTATTAGTCCAAAGGGATTTGAATCCCGAAGGACTATTAGTTTCGTTTTGGCATTTTGCGTCGGACGGATTAATGTCGGTTCACTTTTCAAACTGTTGCCATAAAATGTTAGAGTCCTGCATTATATTTGAAGAAATTAAATAATGAAAAATCTGCATAAATGTATGTATATTTCTCGTATTGTGATAAAACAACGGTACATAGAGTCATCGAATTTTGAATAACGTAATCCTCCAACGAATATGAGCATGTGGAAGACCAAATTTGAAATTTGAAATTTGTTTTATGATCGATTTCCTATTTTTTAAAACTTTGACGAATTTTTGATTAACAAACTCAAGGATTTCAAAGCGAGCAATGGCAACGTTGTGCAGAAAAAACATTTTTATCTCCAGCGCGTGAGTCTCTGTATCGGAAATTCTAAAGATATGCTCGTTTTAAAAACTATTTTTGCGATATTGCTGTTGCACTGGATCTTATGGTTTAAGTGCGAGGAACATGATATTTAATAAAGAAAGGTAAACACACAAAATGTTAAAAAAACGCCCCTTTGGACGTAATTTAAAATCTGAAACATTTCAGATTTTTTTTGTAGAATGTATACAAATATATATATATATATATATATATATTCAGTATGTATAATTATAGAATATATATGTATGCAATTGAATCGTGATTTGATTTAAATATTTAATATCTCTTATTAAATATGTGATGGATTAAATTCATTTTTAATTAAATTAATCGGATTAAAAAGTAAAAAAATAGAACTAAGAACTGCGTTTATTGCTTTTAAATCGCTTCATTTCAGTAATCGACTGATTAAATTTGAAAGTTAAATATCTGACGGTTTACTAAATGGTAACACACTAACGCATAGAAGATCAAAGCATTTTTTCTCAGACAATGACAACGCTTTTAAATTGCTTAGTTGTAATTAAAAACTCATCAGATTTGCACAAAATATGAAGTAAGAAAGAATACACTGAAAAGTTTCTCATTTCAACAGTCGCCCAAAAGTGTTTGTTAAAGTATTTTACGTTCTCGTTGGGCTCGCAGTCTACCAGTTTGCTTTTGCCCTCACTCCTGCCAACTCTCCCTTTTTTTG